CCTTTTGACAGTGGTGTTTCAGGATTTGAAAGTTCCTTTGCCACAAACCGAGACATACATTCTCAAACCTGAACACATCCTTCAAGAAAAATCATTGTTAAAGCTGAAATTAAAAGTGGTGAATGGGAATGTTTGTTTTGCATCTAATGTGCAAAGTGATTCCGAGGGGGAACACAGTGAGGGGGAAGGAGACAAGAAAGAGGAAAATCGTGAGGAAAATAAAAATGCAATTGGAGAGAAAGAACCAGAGAAGGATTGTGAAGAAGAGGTAGAAGAAGTTAAGAGTGATGGGGTAGTAGAGAGTGCAAATGAGGAGGAGGAAGAGGATGATCAAGAGAATGAGAAGGAGGAAGAGGATGCTCAGGAGGCATTACTGCAAGAGTTACCTCAGGAAGTTGGGGGTTCTGTCAAACACACCCCTATACCAGGCAGACGAAGGAGGAGTGTCAGACTTGCTTCATCCAAACCCAAACCCCTGCATTCTGAGCTTGTCATTGTTGAGTTGGATGAAGAATCAACTAAAGTTTCTGAAGGAACTTCCACCCAAGTTCCTCCGGGCCCCTCCTCTTCTGTTCCAGAGGGAACTCCATCACCACCTCAAATTCCATCCCCTGCTCACCACACCATACCTTCTCCCCTTGCTTCCCAGCCTTGTACTTCTGGTTTCGGATTCAGCGCTTTTAGCTCTGGTCCAAGTCTCTTGCAAATCCAGGAGGAACTTCAGCATTTGTCCACTACACTTACACAGAGTATAACTACCCTTACCTCTAAAGTGGATCACTTGGCTACTACAGTTGAGGGGCTGCAAACTCAGATGATTTCTCTGGAAAATAAAATCAATGCTCATATGGACTCCTCATCCCAGGAAGTCAAAGCTACGGTGAAGGAACAGTGCTACAAGACCATTCTCAAGGCAATCAAAGATGTTCCTTTACCATGAAGCTCCTACCACTTCCACTCTCTGCCAAACATACCTACCCCACTGTCTCTTGTGATTTATGAACAATGTTCTTCTGTTCAGTTTTTCTTTTGTTAATTTTGGATCTTTTTTGGTTTGTTTTATAGATTTTGTTTTGATTCGGTTTGAAATCAATTGGCTTGATTTGTTTTTTAATTTGATATTCTCATTCTGGTTGCATATGAACTGTGTGCGCATGCTTAATCGTTCATGAATTCAGATTTACTACTCCCTCCGTAGTTTAGTACTATATATAGCATGCTCTTTCTATCATTTTGATAATGTCAAAAGGGGGAAGAGAAGAACAAACTCAGAAAGCTGGACTCAAACCGATTCCTCTTCAAGTCTTCATCGTTTAAGCAAAGGTATAAATCTCATAATTTATTAATTTGTAGAATGATGCAGACTTCTTAATACTTAGTTTATTTTTTTTCTGTTTTGTTTATATAATTAGTTTACTGTTAATAGTTCCGAAATTTGCCTGGATGATTATTTTGTTTTAACCGAGTTTGTTTTTGTTTGTCATCATCAAAAAGGGGGAATATTGTTGAATTGACTACCTTATATTTTGATGATTGACTTACGTAAAACAAACTCCGACTAATGATGTTTAAAAGAGTCTTGGTTAAGCAGAAGATTCAGGTTTGAAGTAATATGTTCCGGAGTAGGAACAACAAAGTTTGGAAGACTTGATGATGAATGCAAGCTTTCAAGATGTCCTCATATCTCTATATACTTAGTTACTCAGTGTATGAACTTAAGAAACAAAAGTGTTGGAAGGAACTAAGAAGAAACATGAAGTTCCTGAAGGAACCTGAAGTTCCTGAAGGAACTTGACGATTGACGGATGACTCAGAAAAGTTTTTAACAGTTTTCAAAATCCTTAATTTAAGGAAGAGATAAAATCAGTTTGAAAATATTGGGATAAAATCAGTTGAAAAGATTTATTTTATAAATAAATAAAATCTAAATAATTCTTTAATTTAAAAGATAAATTTATTTTAAATTAATTAATTGTTTAAATATCTTTTTAATAAATAAATATTTATCTTTTTAATAAATGTTCTTTTAAACTGATTTTTGACTTGGTAAAATTCTGTTTGCTTAAAAACAGGATGCACGTTGGATTTGGGAGTCAAGTTAGTGAAATCATGGTTCTCAACTTCCTCCACTTACATCCCAACTTCCCAGTATAGGTGAACGTGGGATTGAGGGGGAAGTAGGAACATGATGGAAGCTTGGATAATCTCCCTATAAAAACAGATCAACGTTAAGTTTTGAAAGTGTGGAAAAACAATCTTAAGTATTCTGAGCATAGAGTTTCAAAGTGTTTAAAAGAGAAGTTCCTTCCATCCTTAGTCTCTTAAGTTCTTTAGAAAATACTTGTAATCATTGTGTAATTGGGTTTGGGTTGTGAGAGTTGTAAAGTGTGAGATTTGAGAGAGTTGTTTACACTGTACAAGTGATTCGGAGTAGAATCACAAAGTGTGAGAAACTGTGATTGAGGGATCACAGTTGGGTAACTTGAGTTCCTCACGGAACTTGAGTCTAGGCAACGTATTAGTGATTGTAAATCATTTTTACATAGTGAATTTATTCATTGCCTATCTCAGTGTCTTTTCTCTTAGTAGTAGATTTAATTCCGCAAAATTTACCATAGTCTACATACACTACAATTCACCCCCCCCTCTTGTAGTATACATTGTTCTATCATAGGGTTTATCATTTGCTACTTATGTCCACTAATATATGCTTCCACCATAATCATTTTAAAATAGTGTTTTCTATCCATATTTAAGGCAATAAATTCCTTGCATATATTCTAATCCTTGTCAATGGGACAAATACGGAGTTGGCAAGCTTTATGTGACGCGTGTAGAATTCATGTTTCTATTCATTGACGTATCAAAGTATTTCTTACACAGTATTCAAGAATATCCAAACACATGAACTGAATGATATGCAAGAAATTCAAGAATTTTTTCTTATCAAGAAAGCTTTAGTAGTCATAACTCACTCAGTCTTGTGTAGTCAGCTACTCAGTTGGTTTAGCTCGAGCAACCAAGTGATCAAATCTCTATTTTGCTAATTTAAACTTGACTTTTGAGCATTGCGACATAGCTAATAGTAAGAATTCCAAACCTCTTCAGTAAATAGAGAGCGACCTTAGAAGACTACTTTGCGAAAATTGGGAATCAATTCTTACAGAAATCATGGCAATTTGTACCAAATTTTCGCTAATGGTACATATTGAAGACACATACTCATATATAATAATAGAAACAAAATAGATAACATAAGATAAAATATCCCAGGAGTCCAGGACACAGCAGGTATGTGTCACGGAAAATGCTCGAGTAATCTAGTGCACGTATGAAAACACTAGGAAAATTTATGTAAGCAGCAATCTCATATTAACAATGTCATCTTATATTTCTTATTTATCCAGCCAAATATACACAACCCATAGCTTTACTGAAAAAAAAAAAAAAAAAAAAAAAAAAGAAGCAATCTTTGATTAATTATTGATGCTATCACACTTGATGCACAAAGCAAATGCCGGTTGAATCTGCAGGTTCATCAATGTTTTATACACGTAATATAACTTGTAATCTCTAAGTTATGAGAGGTCTCATTTCGGAACAAGGGAGGCAATGGTTAAATGTTAAGCAAAGCAAAACTCAAAAATTGCTATTGCTGATCTGATGAGGTGCAGTAACTTGTTGCGAGATTAAAGAATTATTTGTTATGAACTAGTCAACATTGCTTCATTTTGGGCCGCGGGAACCAAAAATAATGGCTTCCCAAAAGATTTTTTTTTTTTTTTTTAAAAAAAAATAGCCAACATTAACATCAGAGACGAGACATATGTGAAAAACAGGACAAAATATTAACAACTTGTCATACCAAATTATTGACTCCTTCGTACATTATTTCTACTTGCAAAACAAATTGATTAAGTGATCGAATGAAGGCCAAAAAAGGAGCTGCTACGGCTTATGAGTGAATGAAGATGCCATAAATTAGTCAGAGATCCGCTGTTTTATGTGAGGCTAAGGTTAATAATGTGACCATCTCTTTATTGCACTGCACCCAATGCCATCCCACCACCACCAACACCAACACTTTCACCTTATTGCGGCTTTGGATCAGATAAGCAAAGGCGGCATATGATGATGCAGGCAAAAAATCTACCAATAACGTGGAAGATGGGGCATAAGATTCTTCTGTTTTTAATAAACTCCAATAATGTCCTTAAAACAAGGACGTCGACATCTTTAATTTTTTTTCTCTAAACCAATCAACATTATTGTTTACTTCTCCTATATAATTAGCCAAGGGAAGCAAGAAAGAATACATAATAAATGAGAAGAAAAGATGAGCAAAGAAATGTTAGCTTAGCTAGGTGAATTAGTCATTATCCAAGAGACAAAGATATGAACGTTGAAGTTGGGGCAAAAGACTAGCAAGTCAAGCACGGTATAATAGTAGTTATACTGGTCTTCTTCTAAGTTTGAAACCCATTGAAGATTCCAGATTACTAAAAATAAAAAAAAAATAAAAAATATAAATAAATAAAAATCAGACGTTGATTCCATTATGCACCTTCTCTTTAATGGTTTGGGAGTTAACAAAATTTTAATTTGTTTTATCTTCCAAATACAGTAATGATTAGCATATACGAGTAGCACATTTTGAGCATTGCAACGTTGCTAATTAATTATTAGTAACATTTTCCAAATCTTCTTTTATTCTGTAAAATTGAGAGCTTTCCCTACACAAAGTTTGCTGAAATTAGGACATCAATTGTATATATATATATATATATATATATAGGACACCAATTTATGAGCATTTTATTGAAGATAAAATGATATGAAAAGATAAAGTACCAGCGAAAAAAAAAGAAAACACACACTAGGCATAACCAACTATTCAAGCTACTAGCTAATTTGCTAGGAAACAATTAACTATTTTTATAATACAAAGTAAAAAGATAGAAGAAAATCCCGAGATACATTGGACTCACATCTTCAGGTTCTTAATTTCCCCTATGCCTCGGTGTTGATCTCTTCACTCTGATCTTTAACCTCCTTCTCCTTCCGAAAGTCTCCATAAACCAATCATGATGTCGATCAGTCACGTAGATTTTACCAATGACATAGCCTATTATAAACCCACCTACACACCCCAATGATTTGATGATCCAATCAATCAGCTTCGAGTCCTCTTCCATCATCTCATCATCTATTAACTGTTGCGGTAGTGATGATGGCACGGAGTCTTTAATGCATTTCTTAGACAATGGAGCTCCACACAATGCCAAGTTCCCAGCAAAAGAACTATTGTCAAAAGTATTGAATTGTTCTCCTTCAGGTATCGGTCCAACTATATGATTGTGTGAAACACTAAAGACCCCAAGAAAGGTTAGCTTTGTCAACTCTTGAGGGATCACTCCTGAAAGCGTGTTTTCAGAAAGGTCCAAGGACTCAAGGTCTGTAATGTTGGCTAGAGAAGATGGGATACCACCAACAAGATTGTTGTTGGATAGATTAAGTGCTTGAAGTCCTCTAAGATTTCCAATTATCATAGGGATTCTACCGGTGAACTTATTGCTTGAGAAATCAATCACTCGCAATACAGTCAATATCTTTGTGTAAAATGTTTCACTCCCCTTATTTGTTATGGTGACAACATAATTGTATTTCTCATCATAAAACGCATAGTCACTATAACCAATCCGGTAATAAAACCTAATAAAAGTGTTGGATGAGTTTAACAAGTTTTCAGTTGAAACTGCCATTGCAAACAAACTTTGAAGATACCAAGATGGTAAGTTACCAGATAAAGAATTACATGACAGGTCAAATATATGCAAGCGATGAAAATCATGAATTGTTGGACTAGGCAATGGAATTGTTATCTTCCCATGGAAATGGTTATGCCTCAGGACAAGAACTTGCAAGTTGGGAAGACTTCTTAACCATGATGGAAAAGAGTCATTGATACGATTTCTTCCTATGTCAAGTACCTCAAGCAACGTACAATTGACTAAGGACTTCAGGAGCTTGCCCTCGAATTGATTTTTGCTTAAATTGATCATTTTTAAATTACATGATTTTGAGAACCTTTGAGGAATGACACCACTAAATCTATTGCCTTGTATGTTTAATACTTGCAATGAATCACTAAGCTGATGACTAATGCAACTTGGAATCTTGCCCGTAAGATTGTTTTTAGATAAGTCAAGGAAAACCAAAGATGTTGCATGACATATATGACTAGGAAGAACTCCATCAAATTGATTATTTGAGACTTGATAAACTTGTGTGGAGATTGGAGGAGTTGGAAGTGGCCCTCTTAACTTGTTGTCATTGAGATCCAGCATTTGCAAATTATACCATGGGATGAAAACTGAAGGTTGTTCAAAACCCGTCAAAAGATTATTAGAAAGGTTCAAGATCAAGAGATTCTCTCTAGTTGTGTTTACAAACCATTGTGGAATATCACCTTTGATTTTGTTCCATGAGAGAGATAATACTTTTAGCTCACCTTGATAACGGAGGAACTCTGGGAACTCAGTCAAGTTGCATGATTAAAGATCTAGAATCTCTAACGGTAAAAGAGATGAATTGGTGTTTAGATCTCGTGGAAAGGTTAAGCTAACACCGGTCAATATAAATTACGGAGATTTGGGAGTTCCAAAAATGAATCCAATTTGGCAACTGAGTCCCTAAATGACATAAATAATGTGCTAAGATTCACAAGTTTAGAAATCCAGGGTGGGATTGGACCTTGAAAGTGATTACCATATAGCTCTAACATGCGCAAGTGGGTTAGATTTACTAACCAACTTGGTAGTGTGCCTGTTAACAAGTTGTTGCTAAGATCCAAAAGAGTGAGCCTAGTAGAGTTACACAAAGAAGGTAAAATGTTATTGCCTAAATTCATTTGGCTAAGCCGTAGCTGAGTGAGTGAGTTTAGCTTAGGCAACCAAGATTTCAATATTCTAGCATTCCCAACATTTGGCATGTCTGAAAGGCCTAAGAAAGTAAGGCTCATTAAGTTCATGATAGAATCAGGAAGGTCATTGCTAAAATAATTGCGGCCAAGGTTTAGAACAATGAGATTTGTCAGATTACCTATTGAAGATGGAATTTTTCCATAGAATTCGCTTTCTTGCAAGTCCAATTTAGTCAAAGAAACAAGATTTCTAAGCGATGTTGGCAACTCCCCTGAAAATCCTGTTGCATCAACGTATAAAATACGAAGAGGACTGTTAGAATAAAATTCAGGAAAAAATCCTCCTAATATAGGATTGAAAGTCAATGAAACTACTTCAAGATTTGGTAACTGGAAAATCTTTGCTGGGAATTCACCCAACAAATTGCAGTAGTTCATTGAAATAGCCTTTAAAGAAGTTCGGTTGTAAAAGATGAGAGGTACCTCAGATGATATATCAACCCTATCTAGATAAAGATGGGTTAAACTACTCAAATTAAAAACCAACTTCTTTAGACTCAAATCATTAAGTTTCAAATCAAACTCCTCATCGACAACCATAGGATTTCCATTAAGGGAAAGATCAAGAAGAGAAAGATTAGACAATGTTGAAATTTCTAATGGTATTTGGCCACTGAAAACTGACTTAGAAAGATTGAGATGTGTGAGCTTGTACAGACGACCAATGTCAGAGGGGATTTGAGAATAATTGAAGTTATTATAAGAAAGATCAAGCTCACGGAGATGACTAAGGCTGAAAAGGGTGTTGTTGTGAGGGATGGTGCCGTAAAGGCAGCTGCTACTAAGGTTGAGGCCAATCACATGACCCGTTTCTTCATTGCACTTGACACCATCCCACCTACAGCAATCACAACTTACAGTTGCATTTTTTGAATCATCATGCCATGATTTCACCTTTGGATATGCAAAGGCGGCATAAGATGATGCAGAGCAATTAAGAAGAAAGCTTTGCTTGAAACGAAGCAATGCAATCTTCTCATGATCATGGCACAATGGCTTACGATTTTGCACATAAGGAAATTTCGAATCAGCAAACACGAAGAAATCAGTGACAAGTAAAGCAAAAGATAAAACTAAAAGGAATATGTAAGTAATAGACAACCCAAAACCCATGGTAATAGTAATATCAGTGTTTATTTGATTTTGTAGTGAGAAACTTTTTTTTTTTTTTTTTTTGACAAGACTGAAGACATAAGTGTGGCTTTTATAATTGTAAATGGTCGCTTGAATGTACATTTAAGGATCACAATTGACAAGTCAACTAAAGAGGAAGATGGGGCATAGCAGTTATAGCAACATAAACCAGATATTTCTCTTCAAAGAATCAAGAGGTATCAAAATCCATTTATCTTCCCCGAATAAATAAGAACCAAATTCCTCAAAAAAAAAAAAAAACAAGTCAAGCAAAGCAATCAAATCAAATTAATCAACACAAATTTTCATACTTTCCTTAAAATCATATAATCAATGATAAAATAATTAAGGGAAAACTACAATTAAAAATCAAATCAAAAGATGCGAAATTGGGGATGAAAAAGATTACCAGTAAAAGAATGAAAATTAATACACTCGATCTCAAACTGCCGGGAAAGCATCGGAAAGACGAGATAGCTTCGGAAAGTGGAGTTGGTGAAGCATGGTAGATCCTTTGGCCGCCATTGTTATGAAAATGATAAATTAACTAAACAACTCTAACTAATAACTATAGTTAAGTTTGAAATATGGTTTCCAAAGACTATATTTAACTAATGTACTCCGTATTACTCTTTTATGTCTACTCGTATTATATAAAATTAAATGTTACTGTAATAAAAACTCAATATTCCAATAATATACATACATTAAGATAAATCCAACAATTTATTTATTAACATTTTATTTTATAAAATAGAAATAAAAGATGTGCTAATTATTTTGATAATGAGGAAGTAACTTGGTATTGACGAGATGAACGTGAAGAACTGTGGTACGGGAAAAGCTGAATTGTCTAATAATAATAAATTTTAAATTTTTCTCTGCTTGGACAAATAGTCTTGAATCAATTAGGCAAATAAATAGTTTTGTATACTTGATTACTTGTATAATCGTATGATGTCTATGCAAGACTTGTGTTTTTTATTCGCTAGCTTGACGTACTAACTTATTGATTCCATCGTGCATTTTAAGGTAGTACATGTCTACTTGCAAAACAAATTGATTAATAGTCCCCACTCCCCAACTCCCAACAAAACAAATTAAATGCAATCGTTAATAAGTTAAAGTTTGTGTTTGGGGACCAAGTTTTTTTTAACTTTGTGTTTAAGGTTAGGGCGCTTCCGGCCAATAAAATGTATTCCCTGAGCTTTAGGATGGGGGCAAAGAATTTTCTAACAATGCTCAATCCTTGTCGATGGACAAATAGTGTTTGTTCAAATACGGAGTTGTTGGCAAGCTTTATGATGCGTGTAGAATTTGTTTTTTTTTTTTAAATTCATCGACGTACCTAAATATTTCTAAATATGCACTATAGGCTTAAGCCTGCTATTTCAAGAATATCGAAACACATGAACCGAATGATAAGCAAGAAATTCATGAAATTGTTAATCAAGAAGAAAGCTTAAGTAGTTATTACTCATTAGTGTAGTCGGCTACTCAGCTTGTTTAGTTCACAATACTTGTAATAGAAAATTAGAAACAAAGTTGATAACAAAAGCAGCACAATAATGTTAGGAATAAGTTTTGATAAAATGTCACAGGTCACAGCAGGAATATATCATGGTGTTGAAACCCATTGTAGCCCACTTGTGAGTGTCCCACATTGGAGAAAGAGGAGAGTTAGTTCCACTTTATAAGGTAGAGGAGTTACTCCTACTATTGCCAATTGGTTTTAGTATGGAAGCTCCAAAGCCTTGTTTGTGGCCCAAACTCTCCTCTTCCTTGTTCAAAAATTTAACACATTCTCATAGGGTGCTATCTTATTCATATAGCTAGCAAAATATTACATGACATAACACTGGATAATACACAAGATAGACATAAGCAAAAAACACTGTACTAGGAAACAAAAAGATAGGAAGCCTTGCAACTACAGCTTTTTCAATTTCTCCTGAGCCTTTGTGTTGACCTCCTCATCACTCTTTTTTCGGCCTCGTTATCCTTCCAAAAGTCTCCACAAACCAATCATGATGTCGATCATCCACGTATATCTTCCCAATGACATAGCCGATTATAAATCCACTTACACACCCCAATGATCTGATGATCCAATCAATCAACTCAGTATCCTCTTCATCATTTGTTGCGTTATGTGGAGGTGATGATGGAATGGAGTCTTTCTTGCATTTTTGAGACAATGGAGCTCCACACAATGCCAAGTTCCCAACAAAGGAACTATTGTCAAAAGTATTGAATTGTTCTCCTTCGGGTATTGGTCCAACTAGACGATTGTGTGAAACATTGAAGACCTCAAGAAAGTTTAACACTGTCAACTCCCGAGGGATCGAACCTGAAAGAATGTTTTCAGAAAGGTCTAAGGACTCGAGGCCTGTAATGTTGGCCAGAGAAGATGGGATAGGACCTACAAGATTATTGTTGGATAGATTAAGTGTCTGAAGTCCTCTAACATTCCCAATGTCCTTAGGGATTCTACCTGTGAACTTATTGCTTGAAAAATCAATGACTCGCAATACGGTCAATATCTTTGGGTAAAATATTTCACTCCCCTTATTTGTTATGGTGACAACATAATTGTAAATCTCATCATAAGGCCAAATTTGATAGTTTTCGACATAATACATAAAAAATAAAGAATTGGATGAGTTTGATAAGTTTTCAGTTGAAATTGCCATTGCATCCCAACTCTGAAAATACCCAGATGGCAAGTTACCAGTGAGATAATTATATGACAGATCAATTATACGCAGCCTGTGAAAATCATTACAAACTGAACCACGGAATGGGGTTGTTATCTTCCCGTAGAAGTTGTTATGCCTCAGGATAAGAACTTGCAACATGGGAATACTTCCTAACCATGATGGGAAAGTGTCATTAATACGATTGCTTCCGACATCAAGTACCTCAAGAAAAGTACAATTGACTAATGACTTTGGAAGATTACCCTCAAAGCAATGCAATCTTCTCTTGATCATGGCACAGTGGCTTCGATTGCTGCAAGGAAGGCTGGTTAGAATTAGCAAGCACGGAAAAATCGAAAACAAGTATTGAAAAAGTAAAAATTAAAAGAAGCATGTATGTAAAGCATCCCAAACCCATTTTGATATATCTGATTTTGTGAGTGAATAATTTTTTACTGGCAAATAACAAATTGAGAAATGGGTGGCTTTTATAGCCATAGACAGTCACTTGGTTGAATGTATATGTGGTGATGGTACTTGAAGCTAAGAATCACAATCGACAAGTCTACTAACGGGGAAGACGGGGCATAGCATTTGTCACAAAACATTGAAAAACCGAAATCATCTAGAGAAGAAAAGGGAAGAACAAAACAGATACTTGACTTGTCTTTGGAGATGTCAATATTACAAGTTGGAGCAACACAAACCAGACGTTTATTTACAAAGAATCTAGAAATGTAAAAGCCTCTAATCTTTTTTGATTTCCACTATTATATGCAAAGAAAGTACGAGTACTATCTAGGCTTTATCATTAGCTACTTTTGTAAAACATGCTTGCAATTCCCTCAGATTTAGAAATACAATTACCTTAATCTCTTTGAAATAGTTTTTTCTATCCATATTTAATGCAATAAATTCCTTGTATATTTCTAATCGCATAAGAAAGTTATGGGGTCGGGGCCATATGAGCCTTAATGTAGATCATCCTTGCTACGAGGCTAGTTAGAGAGCAAATAAATTCCTTGTATATTTCTAATTGTTTTCCAAAGGCCAAATTTTTTTTTCTAACAATGTACTAATTGTGTTTAATAAGATAGGCAAGTTGAATGACGCTTGTGGAATACATGTTTTCATTCATTCAGCAATCTTATCTCATAGAATATTATCTAATTTATCCATCAAAATATTACACAGGCCATAACTTTACATACTAGAGACTACATTTAAACAATAAATTTTTTATTAAAAAAAAAAAAAGGAAATTGCTTGATTAACTGCTGATGCTATCACACTTGATGCACAAAGCAAAAGCCGGTTGCATCTGCAAGTACATCAACTTCTCCTGCATAGCCGCGTAGTACAGCTCATACTCTAAGTTATGAGAGGTCTCATTTCAGAACGGAGGCAATAGTTAAATGTAAAGCAAAAAATGACTCGAGAATTGCTCTGAGGTAGAAATCGATTATTTAATAATCATGGGAAAAACTAGCTTCCTAAATGCATTAACTTGTTGTAAAATTAAAGCCCTAAATTAAACAAAGCCTAGCATGTATATTGTACACCAGATTCTCTTTCCCATAAAAATTAAGAGAATATATGCAAGTCAACAAGTTCTAAAAGATTAGGGGAAAAAATTACAAGAAAAGCTAAAACTGATTGAATTTCTAAGCTTTAAACACCTCACCAACCTCAGTCTCCTCTAGTGTGAGGCTGCACACATCCACAGAAATGAGTTCTCTTCCGCCTGCGTGGGGTCCTAGTTCCACCATAGAGATAGTCTCGTAGGAGGACTCTCGTACTGTGCTCACTTACTCGGGTTCCACCTTTGCCTACTTTGTTATTGTCAAGTTTCATTAGAAGAAACTGTAACTTCTGCACTTCAAGCTGCAACCTACCGATCTTCTCTGATATCCTCCGTGCTTGCTCCAAGCATCTCCTCCTCTTACCACCCCCGTTTTCTGATGAATCAGCCGTAACTGATCCATCAAAAGACGATGCTGTTGAGGAATTTTCAATGTTCTTCATTAGTTTTGCACTGTACTCGAACAACTTTAGGATTGTATTCTCACTTTCCAAGAGTTGCTCCTTGACATTGTCACATTCAATACCCTTTCCCTTACTGGAGTTGTGTTCAGTCATTTCCAACTTCTCCTTCAGATCTTGCACTGTTATCTGAAGGTTGGTTAGCTTTTGAACATCAGAAGCGAGCCTCTCTAAGGTCTTCCTCTTGTTATCCTCCTGCTCGGGATTCATAAATCTCTTCGAAGTCAGTTGCTGATCATCCACTCTTAATTCCTTCTCCACCATTGACTCTATTGAGGGACGACCACTCCTGCTCTCTTTTACAGAGTCGAGGTGAGAGTACTTGTTGGAAACAGTAGGAGCTGCTCTGCTCTGCTTGCCCACTGTGAGATCAATGCTGCCTGCTTGGTCAATGGTTTCCCATAACTCGAGAATTTGATCATTGGACCCTGTCACTTTTCTGTTTTTCCCATAGGATGAACAATCCGATACCTGATCAAGCATAATGTCTTTCATCAGAAGCTCCTCCTCTGGAGGTGAGACATCAGGATTTGTTTTTCGGGATTTTGTTTCATCTGGATGTGATGCAACACGCCTACTTAATCTTCCACTCCCACGGCGTGAGCTGCTTTGAGATTTTAGTGCCTCGATTTGTCGCAATGCTGAGTCTAGCTCAGAACGGACACCAGAGTTTTCCTCTTCTGCTTGCTGCTTCAGCTCTATGACTGCCTTTTCCACATCTTGGACCTTGGCCTGAATGTCATGCAAGTTCACAAACACAGGTGCCTGATCTTCATTCTGGTTTTCATTGTTTTCAACACCCTAAAAACATGAACAATGTGAGCAACGATTCAATAACAGTTAGAAGATTTCAAACAACACAAAATGCAGGAAAAAGAAAGAAATATAAAAAGATCCAAGCGTGGCAGCAGTACTAAACTAGGTTAGCAACAGAAATAGAAGTCCATAAAAACACACCACCTCCTCACATAAAACAATGAATATCACTGATGAGAGAATTTCACTGGGAATATTGAAAAGTTATATTGGATAAAAAATAAAATACTACTATAAAACATGTTTGGTAGAAGCAGTCTTGCAATGGAGATCTGTACTTGTGTGACATTAAATTCTGCAATGACAATATCTCATAACAATCCACTTGTTTTTTTTTTTTTCAAATATTGCAGCTGTTTGCGTAACAATGCGCGCACCAAGGGAGGGGAAATTCTTTGCGTAAAACATTCATCAATTAAATTTAGAAAAATAGGTGATTTTTTTATCAGTCAAAAAAGTACCTCTTTCTCCTCGTTGTCAGTTTTGTGAATCTTCTGGTGCCAATTAGCATGCTTCTCAAGAGACGCCAAGGAATCCTTCAGGGACATAATGGCTGAGAGATCAGCAGCCAATCGAGCCTTAATTTCAGAATTTTCACCTTCCAGGGTCCCAACTCTTTCTTTCAACTGAACAACATCTACACATTTGGAATAACTTTCTTCTTCAAGAATTTCATAAGCCTTCAGAAGCTCAGAGAACTTTTCTTTGATCAATGCTTCACGTACGCTGGAGCTTTGTAGCTCAATGAAAAAAGTGCCTGCAACAGTCTCCCATAGTTTGACTTCGTCTTTTCCCTTCTGTAATTCAGAGCTCAGAACCCGGATTCTTGCTTCACTATCTTCATGCTCCTTCTGCATTTTAGAAATCTGTGAATCCAGATATTCAATAAGTTCATGAAGGTCTTCACATTCTCTCAGTTGTTCAGCATAATTCTTGGACAATTCAAGTAATCGGATATCCCGATTCTCTTTCATTGACTCTGCTTCCAGAAGCTCCTTTTCTTTCAAGCAAAAAAGATTCTTTTCATTAGCTATTTCATCCTTTAACCTATCATTTGAAACTCTTACTTCTTTAAGTTCATTCTCTGACTTCTTCAATGAGAGCTCAAAATTGATATTTTTACTACGAGCATCTTCTAGTTTCCTCTCTACTATTTGCACTTTCTCCTCAAGAATACTATTGTCGCTGCAAAGCTTTTCAATATGCCCAGTCAATTGTATGACTTTCTTTGATTTCTCAGAGATGACATTCTTGAAAATAAATGACAGATTGTCCAGTGCAACTACCTCCCCTACCATACAAGAGCACTCATCCTGTAGGTTGTGCTTCTCCTCCTCCAAATCTTCAAATGCCTTCATCAATGATCCCTTTTCCTGGACGACCTTGTAATTCTCTTTCTGTAGATCATCATAAGCCCCCTGGAGATTAAACAGCTTCTCCCGGAGATCTTCCATTTCAGTGAGAAGAACAACTTCTTTCTGACTTCCCTCCCTAACTTTGAGAATTAACTCTTCATTACTCTCCAAAAGCTTCTGTATCTCCTTCTGGAGTTGATTTACTTCCTGGTTCCTGCTTTCAACCTCCTGCCTGAGGGAGTGTATAACAGCATTTAAATCTGCCAAATCTTGTTTAAGATGCCAAAGCATTGCAAGGAAAACAGACTTCTGGATTACAAGTTCTTGATTTTCATCCCAGGCTTTATACAGAGATGCTTTTATATCATCAAGTTTTCCATGAATACGGTTCACAACTCTTTGATCCTCATTGCCGCAGTCATCAAGTGTTGAACCTGCATCAGATTCCAGTGCATCTAACAAATGAAAGATCCCCATTCTCAATCCTTTTACTTGACCAGACAACACACTAACTTCATCTTGCTTATCAAAAATCTCCTTCTCCAGTTCCAAAATGAGTTTCTCAGACATCCTGGATGCTTCCAGAAGTTTCTCAGAGTACTTCTGCAATGAAGAATTATTGTCTTTCAGATCTTGAATACTTTTCCTCAGGATGAAGATCTCAAACTGAGCATTAACAGCTTTATCTAATTCTTCTTCAAACTCTTCTCTCATGTGATCACCCGCCTCTTCAAGAAGATAAATCCGCTTTTCCAAATCAGCAATCCGAGTCTGACTCAACTGGTTTGAGTAAGTGTGCTCTTGCTTTTCAGTATCTAAGCATACCTGCAGTTCTTGTACCATCTGAGTTGTGGATTCTCTCTCTTCCTCCAAACTTGTGAATCTTTGCTCCAAGTCTGCATGTCTTTTACCCAGTTCTTCTAACTTACAGTGTGTTGTTTCCAGCTCAGATGTCAATGTTTGATTCTCCGCAATAAGGGCAGAATTCTGGTCATCAAGGATCTTGCATGAATGTTCCAAGTCTTTAGATTTTACCCTCAACATCTCAAGTTCTGCATTGGCATCGAAAAGAGAGTTCTCCAAGAAAGTGTTCTGTTCTGAGAGTTTCTCTAGATTCTCAGTTGTAATCTGTAACTGAGATATCAGAAAACCTTTCTCGGCAACAAGTGTAGACTTCTCACCTAGAAGCATCTGGAAGGACTGCTCCAACTCCTTCACCCTCTTTCTTGCAGCTTCTAGCTCAGCATTCAAATTTAACAGAGAATTCTCCAGAAGCTCATTCTTTTGAACAAGTTTTTCCATTACCTTCAGCTTCTCCTTTACCGTAGCTACCTCAATCTCACTACTCCGGAAGCTTTCTTTGAGCCTTGAGTTCTCATCCTGCATCTCTTTTACAGATGAACCAAAAGATTCTGAATCATAGCCCACCAACTCCACCTGCCTCAACATATTTTGGTGTCTCTGGCTCAGACTATTTATTTCCTCCTTCAGCGAGGATATCTCTTGCTGAAGATTATTCCTCTGATCAAGCTGAAGCTCCAGTTCATGTTCAAGCTTCCCTTTACCCTCCTTCAAATCAAAGATCTGTTCTTCCATGCTTCTTATTGAAGCAGCTGAGGACAGGTTAAGGTTGTTGAGGCTCATGTTTTCATCCTTTACCTTCTGAACTTCGTCTTCTAAATTCTGTTTCTGATTCTCGAGGTCCTTCAAAAGTTGAACATTCTTGTGAAGATCAGCAGCAACAGATCTGAGTTCCTCCTGGACTTTCGAGTGCAGATTCTGAAGTGACTGGAAAGAAGTTTCAGTCTCCATAAAACGCATGCGCTCTTCCTGCACACATGTCCAAAGTCTACCTAATTCCTTCTGCTTCTCAGATAGCTCCTGGTCCTGAAAACCCACTTTCCGTTCCAACGATTCCACCTCAGACCGCAAAGAATTATTTGACCTATCCAATAGATAGCACTGTTCTTCACTTCCCTTTAACTTTGCTACCCCATCTTCAACCTCAGCTTTTAGCCTTTCAGCCTCTTCCTGCATGAGAACAACTTCACGTTCCAAAGTCACTATCTTGGCCAAACACTGCTCATGTTTAAGAACAGCAGCTTCCTTCTCCTCAGTTAATTTGGTTATAGTTTTCCTCAAAGATTCAACTTCTTTTTCAGCTCTGTCAGCTCTCTCACTAGTCCTGCTGGCATAATCCTCAGCTAGCAGCAATTTGTTCTCCAAGTTGGCTATCTTCTCCAAAGATTCCATATACTTGGAAAGAAGAGATTCTTTTTCAGCCTTCAATCGAGAAAGCTCTTCTTTCAACACTTCAGCTTCTGTTTCGGCTTTGCATGCTCGTTCATTAAGCTGTCCCGCATCCTCTTCCACACGAGATATATGGCTTTCCAAGCTGGATACCCTGTCCAGGCATTGCTGATACTGAAGCAGACTAGTTTCCCTTTCAGCTTCTACCTTTTCCAGGGCTTCCTTCAAGCTTTGCACTTGAGCTTCAGCCTTGCTTGCTCGTTCGTTGAATCCATGAGAATCCTCCTTGGCTTGAGAGACTTCAGACTCTAGTTTAGACAATCGTTCTAAAGTCTGCTGATACTGAT